GGTACAGAGCTGAGGCTGTGCCCCCCGTCTTATGCACTCCCAGTGGGCGGCCAATCTTCCGTTCGTCCTGTAGGCAGTAAACATCGCCATGGCGACCACGACGGGGGAATCACGTTCAGAAAACGAGAAACAAAAGACAGCAGCTGGACGGACGAGATGCCAGCAGCGCCGGGACCGTGACGTACTATTTCCGCCCATAATTTTGGCGCGCGAAAACTGGTTTGTCCACGTAATGACGGCTAGGAAAGTAATAACTTGGCAGCAAGCGACCGGCCTCTTCTTCTACAAGATCGAGCCAGCAGCAGCAACAGTGCTCCGCTGCTGTTTCTGCTTTATGGTATGGGGATAACAGACGCTCTGTCAGGCGCCATGGACTCCCACAAGGCTACACGCACTCCGCGTCATAACCCTTGAATACAACAAACGCCTGGGTAGGGTCTGAAGGCTTCAGAATTCCGAAAGTGAGAACTGACGTTTAAATATGAAACGAATATGAGGACTCGACAACCAATTTTAAGATGTCTTTTGTACAATATTCGTATTGCAAGAAACGCCCGTTTGAATAGTTAGTTTACGATTTGCTGTGAGGGACATTTTCTTTCTGGACGAACGTGCAAGAGCCAACTGCTTTTCTGCGTAACTAAAGACCAACCATCGCTATATTTTATACGTGGATCGCGGTCTTTTTATTTATTTACAGTTTATATAACGACGCTTTCAGTGTGTGGACTATATAACTTCAGATGAAAGGATAAGGGTGCGGAAGGAAGCGTCGTGGCCTAATTTAAGGTACTATCCCGGCATTTGTCTGGAGGGACTGAGAATGTGACAGAAGGGCCACAATTTTTCAAGAACAACTGTGGTTAGTGACGTTACATTTGTATTGGGAGGCTTCTGGATTAATTTGTCCATGCTTTCCACCGACACACACAATCGGATACGCGATCCTAAATTGCAATATTTCAAGAGCAGGCTGAATAATTCCACAGCTTCCACTCTTAAAACAATGCTTGCTCCACGTCCCTGGAATGCGGCCGGTACTCGGTTTCCAGCAATTATACAGCAAGGCGTAATGTTACCATGGGCACATTTCAGTTTCACTGCGACTTCTTCATATTCTAACGAAAAAGTCCTTTTACCGATGTTTCAGAGGTCCTTGCTTCGCCCTGATGATGGAGGCAGTATGACCTCTGAAACGTTAGTAAACATCGACCAGACTACACAGCGCAACAACCCCGAACACAGAAAACTTCAGACTTTAAACTAGCAGTAATTTAATACCACAGAAGTTGATCCACCCTCTGAACTCCGTACCTATAATGATACCCACAAATGACTTAACTAATTAAACTGTGAACCATTCTGATTTTTCACATATAAAACGTTGCTATATATTGTAATTAGGCGATCACAGTCAACGTTAAAGTGAAGTGGAGTTGTATTCAGAATGACGAAGGACAAATCCCGTCACGACTACGGAACGGAGCGCGCTGGAATGCCCCCTGGAAGCAGGAATTAGCCGGGATGACGTCACAAGGAACAGGTGCGAGGCGCAATCAAGTGGAGAACGCAACACGTGCACCCGAAACCACGAGGAGAGAAAAAAGTACATATAAAAACAAGAAGTAGTATAAAAATCCCTTGTCCATCCACTGCTGTGCGTGATTCAGAACCGCTGGCCGTAACGACTGAAGGAGTAACCAATAGCGAATAGCAGGTCCTAGTTTTTATTGCAAATTGTTGACCGGTGTTTGTAAAACGACATCTACAGAGCCTTCCTTTTTATATATTTCCTTTCCATCCATCCGGCCTGTCTTTCTTAAGCCAATTCTTCACTTTCACTATTCCTTCCTCCCCTCGTCTTCCTCTTGTTCGACATCCTGCTCATTTCCATCAACCCACCAGAAGACGGGAGAAACCCTTTGGCCAATGAACGTCGCGAGCTACCCAGTCTCTACACGCTGGTATGATTTAGCATCGACTCTAACACGCAGTCTTACCCCAGTGTAAAGAAAATTACAGAATGTATGCCCATAGAAGATTGTAAGCCCATATCCCATTATAAAATACAGGAGTTGACGCACTCTGGTTTTCAGTTCGCAGTTTCCAGACTCGACTGCATTTCACCAGAGGGCACTAAAAGTCATTTACTGCAGATAAAACGTCCCTTCCCCTTCGTCTTCGTACTTCATGCAAATGAGATGAATACTCCTAATACTGCGAGAATGATTTACGTTTGGTTTCTTAGAACCGGAAACAATGGCCACTGGTCGTCATGCAACTTACAAAGAGAAATAGATTATACAAGGGATCAACATTGTTAAAACTCTACCAGAAGCTGGATAACTTCTTAATTTCGGTAAAATTACGATACAATTTATTTCTTTAATTATAGATTTAGGATCATTTTCAAGAAATATGACATTTATTTAGCGGAATGAATACAGCCCAAAACTTGGATATTATGGCGATTTGGTCCACACAACGGACGGCTGAATTCTGGCTGTTGTAATCTTATTTCACGTAAGCGACTGAAAACTTTAACCTTACTCTGCTGGGCACACCACAATTATTAATTAAATTAGAACGATGGATAATGCCCACGAAGTTAGTTATTCAAATGCTAATGAAGGTTTTTAAAATGCACAACCTGGAGGGTTCACCTGCGTTGCTATGCGATATGGTACACGCCTGATCTTCGTTTCAAGAGTTACATCGTTTAAGTATTTCCAAAATATCTACAACGGGAGACCCTGGCCAAAATCTCGCTGTAGCACCAAACAGATTTTAGACGTATTTCTTTCGTGTTACAAAATTAAGCCGTTTCGTATCACACATTCAGCTTACATATAAAGCACAGTCCAGCCTCCCCTATCGGATGGACGTAAATGTTTTATGTTGCCGTTAATGGCTCTCCAAGAAAATAACACAAAAAGCAACGGAAGTGGTAGGAAAGTGAGTAATGAAGGGAGAAAAACAGTCGAACATGGCCAAGAAAATTCTGCGTGACAAAAAGAGACTCCTCTATTCCAAGTATCATTCCATGCAACGATTCACAAGAATTTCTTGTCGGCGGTAATTAACGGCAGGGACAGTGGCTTCGAAGACAGAAGCAATGCTTTTTAAAAACTGCTCCGTGAACCATGCACCGAAAGCGTGCGCAGAAGCAGCCAAGGACTTGGTGTCCTATCATGCAGAATTGAATTTCCAAGTCTGGATATTTCACATCGCTGCCGTAAGAAAGGATTTGGGTGCAATGTCGCCATGCCAATTGTTTAGCAATGAACCCTTCAGTTTTATTACAGTGTGAGAAATGACGATCTAAAATTATAATTTCTACCTCCCTAATTCTAATCACCGATTAGATTCTTCACCCGTTCAGAATTTGGGCTTATAAGTCACTTGTCAGGCCTTCAATCGGCCCAGAAAATTGTATATCTCCCCGTTCCAATCATAGGTTAGGCCCTTCATCTGGTCATCATATTGTTAAACTGTCCAGAAAATCGTATTTTCACTTTAAAATCACGGGTTATGTCCTTCATCTGTCCTGGAAAGAAGCTGCAGATGGAGTTGGGAAGACAATATTAAAGTTATCGCAAATAATAACAATTACATTGAAGTGAGCGAGATATATAATAAGAGTGTGTCATTTTGAGTAGTCCTATTATAAAATCTCGGCAGCACATATTACAGCCAGCTGACATGAGCTGCATGGCAGAACTCCGCTAGCAGACGCGTGACATATGGGCCAAGCCACAACCAACAAACATGCCTGTTCGCAGCGGTTACAACTTTCATCGACGGCAACTTATCTACGGAATGTGACTTCCTTTGACTCCTCAGGGTTGTATCACAATGAACACCTGCTCTACAGATGCGACCGGTGATGCAGACATGGCGTCATCACCATCACTAAGAGAGCTAGCCAGTAATATTCAAGGCATTTCTTACGAACACCACAAAGTGAATCACTCCTTGCAACAAGGACTGTGGCCATATAAACAAAGCATAACAACTGACGTTCGCGACACGGAATGACTTGTCTAATGCAATGAAAACCGTGATGCATCTACAAAGAGCCGCGCAAATTTCTCTCCATACAGCATTCAGGATATCCGAGTGAGAGGAAATCTTTGATTAAAGCTTCAAGAAGCAAAGAATTCTTATCACTAAGCTATAAAATTAATATTTTTGATAAACGAATGTCGAACATTACTAAAATGTAAATATCAGTAATAATACCATTTAGAATAATATTTACACAAGTAAGTAACCAATTAGCAACAAGATTTAGTTATAAATTCAAACAATATCATTCTAAAAGGGGCACTATTCCCTGGTCAGCTGCAGTGCACTACAACATAAAGAATGATGCTAATGAAATATGAGTGGCAGCTTGAAGTTCTG